CAAGCTAAGGCTAACTACAAAAAATATCGAATATTTTAAATGGAAAAATGAATCTATAGATGGATTGTCTGCAGATATTAGTAGTAGTGACCTACGATTTTTTAAGTTTGCACCAATAAGTTCCGTAGACGTGTAACGTTCCTTTTCTAAATATAAAAATATTTTGGCTGATAACAGGCAGTCACTTAAATTTTCTAACTTAAGAAAATATCTTATAGTCCAATGTAATGCTTAAGGTTAGAAGAATTATAACTATATTAAAAATAAAAAAAATGTTTTCAATTTAATTTATTTTTAAAACCATTTTAAATATTTTGTTTTAGATAAAAACTCAATATAAGATAAAAACAAATTTGAAAAAAAGAAAAAATTATCTTAGATCATCATATCTATCATATATAAAAATATTATTATAATTAATTACTAATTAATTTTTTATAAATACATATTTTAATAGCATATTTATTGATTATTTAGGGCATAAATGCATACATATTTTAAGGTTTATAAGGGCATGGAGTCCCTAGCCCTAATTATAATATACTCGTATAATAGTTTTCATGTCAATATCAAACGTCTATTTTTATACCTCCTCGAACGAAAAGTTGATGTTTGTGTGATTCCATCATAATTGAGAAATACTACATTTTATACACACGTTATAATATTCATGATTTGCATATTTTTCATTCTGACCATTTCGAAACGGGATTTTTTTTTTAAGTCCTTAAGAGGGATTTATCCCGAAAAACCGTATCCTTCATTTGTACGTCTCTGCATATACTTACAGCCTTATAGCCTGTTGGTATATAAATCTTGCACGTATTTTGTGTAACATACTTACACTTACCCATCTATACATATATATACATAACTACGACGGCCGTCCCCGAGGAATCTAAAACACCTTTATAGCACTGTGCTGCATCCAACGACACGCCGTCTGTTTAACATAATACCGTAATAATGTCCCAGCCTTTGAAAGCATATAGGTATAAACTCATGTATCTGTAAGTAGCAATATAATGTTTTCTTCTCTTGGTCTTATCTTACACATTGAGGGGGGGGGGGGGGAATTGTATTTATAAAGTATATAGAGTGATCGACTCCAATAAGGATAGATTATTCAATGTGTATTTTGTAAAATTGGATATAGTAAAGAGATTTTTTTTTTTAACACATATAGTATATCACCGCTTTCCTATTCTTTAACGTATATACTTATTCTCGTGTACTTTGATCATCATATTACATATTCACACACATATAGTTAAGTACTATAATTTATTACACATATTTCTACGTCATAGGTAGTTATTAAATTGCAGGAATTATAGTGACTTCTTATATCTTTCGTGCTCTGTATTTTCAATCGTATTCAACACTTACGTTTTTATTAATCTTAAAAATTAACAAAGGTATAATTTATGTTTAAAATAATTAATTATAAAATAACAATGTTTAAAGTATTTGTACATATAGCTACGCGCAGGGTTTGGGTTTGTTAATTTTGGTAAGCATTAGCAAATTTCATGGCTGCATCCGAATTGGATCCCGAATTATTTTAAGTACTACACTAGTTGGGTCCTGAATTATTTTAGGTATACATTAGTTTTTGAATATTTTTTGGTAAGTACTACATTATACTACCATTTTCCTTCCCATTTTAACAAACTTAGGACTGTCTATAATCTATTTAGACCACAGGTATGGTTAAAAAAAAATTTCATAGTTTTTTTTTTGTTTTTTAGTTTCTTTTCCATTTATTTTTATTTATATTATATAATGATTTTAAAATTTTTAATATTTTTTAATTTACTTACATGGCTATAATTATATTATATAATATGTATTTGTATACTTGATTTTTAACATTTTTAATATTTTTACCTACACAATTGTAATAATTTATATTTTAATGGAAAGAAATAAAAAAATAAAAACTATAAAAAACATTTTTAACCATACCTGTCGTCTAAATAGATCATAGACAGTCCTAAATCTGTTAAAATGGGTAAAATGGGCAGGAAAATGTTAGTATAATGAAGTACTTACCAAAAAATATTCAGGAACTAGTGTAATACCTAAAATAATTCAGGACCCAACTAGTGTAGTACCTATAAAAATCCGGGGCTTAACTAATACAACTACCTGTGATTAGTCCCTAATTCTCGGGACCCAACTCGGAACAAAATACAGGAACAAAATTAAATTTACCTATTTAATACGTAGAAACTATACCCAACACGTAATTAGAATAACCTAACTTCAATATTCCGTTTTAACAATGCATGGTTGTAAATTAAAGGTCAGTATTTAAGTTTATTAAACTAGTTGCTATTCTTAATATTACTTTTCTGTGCAAATGAGCTAATTTTTAGAATAATTGTCAGAAAAAAACATACTTAAAAAAATAACGCTCGAAATATTAATCAAAACTTTAGTACAAGCCAATTAGGTTTAGGTTCGTTTTTGTTAAAACTACCAAAAACGTTATAGTTTCACGCATTGTTATCAATTTTTAAGATTATTTAATAAAGAATATAACACACGGAATCAACCATAAAGAGAACGTAGTATAACGTAAGTAGTAATGGATATTATGTAAAAGCATTTTAACTTCATAATTCACATATTACCAACTACAAGAAAACACACACATATATTCATGTTACTTAATTCAGGACCTTAGAAAAGCAATTCCATCGTTTATGTAGTATCTATAATAATGCAATTAGACTTGATTTAGCTCGTACTTTAAGCATTCATACCTATTCGTTTCTTCTGCAGAAATCTGAGAAGTATTACAATAAATTATGTATGTGTATTATGAATGTATTTGAGTCGTATATTAGATATTATTGTGTAATAATAACAACGCTTTTGAGCTTTTAATTGTTTTTTTTCGCCTCTCTTACCATTATTGATAGCGTTGTTTGCAGTTTTGTTTTGTACTCCACTTTGAGTTAACCAATTTTATTTCGAAATTACCTTACAGGTGTGTTTATTATTCGACGCATGCACGTGAAATAAATTATGCATTTGTAATTTTTACTAAAAGTTATGTTTAATGGAAAAAAGGATGGAACATTTTTAATTTAAAACCTCTGAGACTTCATACCCTTTTTGCTTTCGATTAAGAGTTGAGTACCTATATAGGAATGAATTTATTAATTACAAACAGATATTTCTATTAATTAGGAAATCCATTTATGTTTCCATTACAAAATACTGTCATATGCTCTTTAGCTATTAAATATCCATGCATACGAATAACATGATATAAACTAGTCTACTTGTATATTTAAGTGTTGAAATATTGTACTTTTGTAATTTTTTTGCATTCATTTTTCGAAAAAATATTATTATTACGGTTTTATTAGAAATAAAATATAGCTTGTATATTTTTAAATTGCCTTTCTAGTTCTACACATAAAAATAAAAAGTAAATCATTGTTTCTACATCAAGATTAATATAATATATTAAAATTTAAAATATATAAAAATCCGAGATCATCATTATCGAAAAGAAGTGGTGAAAAAATCTAGTTGAATTTCAAAAAGAAATCGGTTAGATGGTCCATCCATCAATATATACAATATATTTTTTTTACATAAACGAGATTTAACCGTTTTTATTTCAGTAAATTACCATCAAACTTTTACACGATATACGTTTAAGCAATATAAACTATGTACGTAAAAAAATTGCAGTCTACAAATTACACATGTAAATGTATTACCTATTGAAGTTTGTTTCTGATATTTATATTTATCCGTTGCATGAATACATAAATAATGGGTAGGTAAACTTTCGTGTTATCGTAAAAACTGTTTGAAAACGTAACCATGTAGAGTATCATTATACTATATAGATAAATAATAAATTAAAAAATATAAAAATAAATAAAGAAAGTTTTGTTTTTTTTTTTTTTTTATAGTTCATTCAGCACACATTTGCGTTCGTTTTATGTCGAACATTCAACGAAATTATATTATACATTGAATTATTATGCAAGGAGAAGAGAAATTTAAACACACCACAATCGATGGGGACATGTATCGCATATAATATTAAGTTGATCTTTTGTCTATTTATTATATATACCTATATATATATATTTTTGTGTAGTGCAATTTCAATAGTTTAAATCTCTAAAAGATCAAATAATAATATTATTCGACGACATATTATTTCTAATGATTAATATTGAAATCATAATTAATAACATTTTTTGCAATGAACCAAAAGAAGCAACATTTGCTGACTCAGTATACGATATAATGGTTTACATGCAGTCGCCAACTGTTAGTTGCAGGTGCGTATACAAGGGGTGATGTGGGGGTTAGATCCCCCTCCATAGGCCTTTTTAATATTGTATAAAATAGTGTTTTTAATGTAAGGAAATTATAAGGAAACAAAAATATATTGCAAAGATTTATTGTAAATTATTATTTTGACACATTCAATATATATATCTTTTATTATTTATTATTTAAATGTGTAGGTATATAGGTTTAGGAATTTTCCTTCCATAATAATTTATTTGCGATTAATACCCCCCCCCCCACCCACCCGTACAAAAGTTATGTAGACGCCACTGGTTAGTTTGTAGATATTTTATTCGAAAAACATATACCATTTATTCTTCTTGCTTTAATTAGAAATATTTTGATTAAATCTTCGAACACTGTAATCCATGAAATAATTATTTTCAGTTAAATCGAGTCGGCTGTTAGATTTATACAATGTGTGCAACGTATATTGACAAATCGATTTGTGTGCAAGCCAAACACGACCGAAATTAATTGTATGTATTGTAAAGATAAACACTATCACGGTAGTTTAAATAACATTGTCAATGCCGTATGAGTGCGCAGGCTGTATGACTAGTACATTGTGTATGTCTTTGCCATGATTGTCTTAATAACAGAGATAACGCAATAACTATAAAATCCATCCATCTTGGCAATAAAACCATGGCAGCATAACCCTAATAAAAGTTAGAACAGCTGTATATTACATACAATTTGTGATTTGGAACGTTATATGAAAATTGTAACCGATTCAACGGTGATCGTAATTCTACGTGTAAAAATGCAGTATTTGTAATCATTTCGCGTTCGTTGTGTGAAACTGTTCGTTTTTTTTAATTTTTACGCGCCTTATTATCATCTATTTTTAATGCATTTATAACCCGGTATTCATTAATATTTATACGTGTACAAGTATATAAACCTACGAGAGTTTTCTTCTGCTACAGATATTAATAAAATTATTAATCAAACACATCAAATTGTAAAGGTTAATTCAAATAGTGGTCAGTTTAATATTCGATATCAAATTTTACGATCAACATAGATTGGTATGAATAATAATTCGCTACTCATACGTAAGTAAGTATGCATTTTTAATAATTATTTAAATGATTAATATATAGTAGTAATATGGTGTATTGTTTTATTATGCTATGTATGTGATGTTATTGAAAACCGTCTCGACTTTTTGCTGCAAAATGAATTGTATTCAAGGCCGTATTTAGGGGGGTGTCCAGGGTGTCTGGATCTCCCCGAGATGTCTTCAATATTTTACAAATGTTTAAAACACTTATTTATTTTTAATACCAACATAAATATTTTCAGTTAAAAATGACTTAATCTCCAATTAATTATTGACTGCTTTTAATTTTATATCATAATATCATATGAAAATATGATATTAATTTTAATAAAAGAAGATTAAATCTTTTTCTGTCTTATTTTTAACTAAATATCAAAAGTTAAAATCTAAATTCAATAAAATTACAATATAGATGTTTTGGACCCCTCCCGAAAAAAATTTCTAGATACGGCCTTGATTGTATTAATTAAGAAATCATAATCAACCATTAGATTAATATAACCATATAAATATATTGGATTGTATTGGATATAATATTGTATTAGATTATATTGGATTTAATATTTTAATAATTTAATACTATATATGTACAGATTTGATGCATGATATGCAACACTCGTTAACTTATAAATGATAAAACCAGCTGTGAACGATGACAAATATTTTCATTGTATGATATTTTAATCAGAATTCATCACATATAATTGTGCAAATTTGTTGAATGACATTTCGAATATAATTTTTTAACTAAGATATGTAAACTTCATAAATAATATTATTAATTGGCAAGTGTAAAATAATTACAATAAATAAAATAATTATCAGTCAATGTCATATTTAGTAATTTTGCGCCCCGGCGTAAAAAAAAAAATTTGGTGCCCTTCTAAAAACCCTATTCACGAAAAATATAGGAGATGGATCCTCATGAACCTTTTAGTTATTCTAAAATCAATGCTATTTTTGTGTAGTAGGCACGCTATCACCGCCGCATGCGATAACATAATACGCCGTATTATTATAAATAACTTATGTGTATTGACATTATCACAACAAATTTGGGAACTGATATTAAGTATAATATTCTAGATCTCTAATAGCTATATTTCTATAAATACATTAAAAATATACATAAATAAATTAAATACATTAACATTAATTTATGATATTAAAAACCAAAAAAAAATAATAATTTCAAAATAATTTTAAAAGTTCAATAATTCACAAGTGAGCAAATATCTGACCACAAAACTCCCAAAAAACTTGCGTCCAGGGCAGTTGTAGCCAGTGCCCCCCCCCTTTTAACGCGGCCCTGATTCACAGTACTATAGCCGAGTAAACGGGAATTGATTAGAAATTATTTGCAACATTTTGTAAGATCTAGGTATTCTAGCTGTACGAAGTTAACCGTTTTAAATTAAGTTTTAACAATTTATCAACCTATTCGAAGCAAGTGGATTAAATATAAGCACACTAAAACATTTTTGGAATGGAAACAATTTAAAAACTGATAACTATTTAAAAATCCACAATATTTTTTTACATTTTTTTATCAAACAATAAGTTGATGAATGTACTAACTTTATCTTATTTTCCGAATTAATAATTTACAGTCAAATATTTAGTTCTGTTTTTAGTGAATTTTTTTTATTTTATTTTTTTGCATAAAATCACAATGTTTGTAAAATAAATTATCTACTGTTAAACAAAGTTACTTCACAAAGAATATCGAATAATTTTAATGAAGTATATATTGTTTTATATATACGATAAATTCGTTTCTATAGCATTAGATGCAATTCGTTTTAGAGAGCTGAGCAAAAGAGGTAGGATAAGAGCTAGTTTAACGATAAGCTAGATAAGCTGGATAAACGCAAAACATATTATATAGGAAAGTGTGTATAATATTGCGTAGGTACAAAGTAATATTGATTTTAAAAATCAAAACGTATCATTCACTATATTATACTTATACGGATCCGACGGATAATCATAACGTTAGCAATAATTGCCGTAGTGCTATGTTATGACATGTACACGTGTGAATCCATACCTGATACTACATCGAACCGATTTCGTGCGCTTAATCGAATATCTTCTTACCTTCTTCCGTGCGCAACAAAGCATTGCAGACGATGACGACTGTGACGTTGATGGTGACGACGACGATGATGGTTTTTTCGCTGAGCCTACTCCTCTGGTTGTTACCATTTTGTCATAATGTCACAGGGAAACGACTCCGAAACCGCGGTACCCGGTCTGACGAACACGAAACAAATCATATCTCTTTCGAGTAAAAAAAAAAAAAAAGAAAAAAAAGTGGCTAACACCGATGGTCTTATGTATGTCTTATATATGTATGTAAACAAATATCTATGCACCGCAGAATCGTAATTGAATATTAATTATTAATTAATTTTTCAAAGTCTTACAGATAGACGCGCGTATTACATTTTAATAATCTTTTTTCCTCGTATCTATATTACGTACACATTTTTACATAGATATAAACGTTTAGCTACGGGATCCGTTCGCTGAACCCTGATAAAAAACCCGCATGTGTTATGTTTACAGAGCGTCGCGAGCACACGATAATTATGGTCAGCGTGGCATACTGACGGGACTGGAGTGAAAAGCGCTGGCATGCTACGCGCTGACCTTACCGATCGATAACCGTACACGAAACCGCTTCGCACCCCTCGTGGATTTGCGCGTGGAAGGGGGTGGCAAAGGAAATCGTCGCCACCACCACCACCACCACCACAACCATTCACCGGAGTACGCGCGAAGTTCGCTTATGCACGCGCATGAACCAAGGGTGGTAATCTGGGAGGCTCTGCGCACCGCATGCAACGGTGAAACCATCGTACGCGGCGCTTTCCGTCCACGTGGTTACCAATCACCATTCATCATCAATTCGGTGTTGCGAATTCAATGCACTTAAAAAAAAACTGCAATTGTGCGTTATGAACGTGCAGAAAATGTCTTTTGATTATTCCATAAAAATGTCTATTATTATAATTAACATCATAAAACAGCGAAATACATACTGTATTGTATTTTTATTTTTTTAATAAAATAATATTGATGAGTATTTATAAAAAAAACGGATTTACGCTGACAACACGGTAGTCGTGAAAAAATCCAGATATAATATCTAGCATAAACGGGTGCGCACGTGGAGGTCGGTTAGCCCCCCTTGCGAGTCGAGCCACACTTTGAACTTAATAGCTTATTTGTAATTGCATCCATGACAATTTTATACTTTATAATGAACACGTCTGTTTATGATCTTCTTGAAATGATCATATGTTGTTATCAAGGCTATCCGCAGAAATTATCCTTGGTGGGGGGGAAAGCAGTGAAAACCATAATTGTATATGAACCAAAGAATTACTCTATGATATGGACCTACAACCATGGTTAAAATCAAATACCGAATAGTGATATTGAAAACTGACGAACAATTTTGTGTCACTTTATTAGTCCTTCTTATCACCCTCCAAGACTGCCAAGACTGCCCTATAAAATGCAAATAAATGCAATAAATGTTTAAACAAATTAATATATAAAGGAGCGAGGATGTCGTGGCTCATAAGCACCTCTGACTGTTTCATACATTTCTAATTTTGAAGATTTATATCTCTCCGCTCACACGCTCAAACATTTTACATTTAGAACCCATAGTTATTTTATTTATTAATAAATATTTATAACCATAAACTATAGTATTAAGAATATCAGGAATAAAAAAACATTTATAAACTTACTATAAAATAATATAATATATAATAGTGCTAATATACATTTTCAAAATTTTACTTTTCAAGTTTTTTATAGTGAATTCATAAGATATTATTCCCATATTTATTAATTTTTTATTAAATACTAATTGTAGATCTTAAATAGTTTTTAGTTATTATCCATTAACTAATACTTCTTTCACATTTAGTTGTCATCGGTATTGTTAAAAATATCCTGAGCGTCACTTCAATATTAGCATAAACATCTTTAAAAGAATAATAATGAATTTATTTTAGTAGATCTAAAGGAGTAGCTGATTTAAAATTATTCATCGAGTTATTAGTTTGATGTTTGAAACATTCTAATTCTGAATACAAATCAATTTCATTGAGATATTCTGAGTATTTCATAGCTAAGATTAACTATTTGTTCGATTTGACCATTTACACACATATTCCGATTTCATGATGAATAATTTATTTTCAGTTAAAAATTCAAAATCTGATAATAATTTTTCCATCTGTTTATATCTACAGCTAAAATTAGAAATCAAGTCAATGGCTAAATAAGTCTGTCTTTAGTTCTTGTTCGGCTTTTAATAATGTTTCATTGTCTAGAGACTCGTCGAAACGTCGTTTAATAAATCTTAAATGATTTTTTTTCAAATTATGCAGGTAGGTGTATTTAAAGATGAAGATTTTTCTTTTGCATTAACTATGGAGATTTCAAATACATTATTTTTTATGTTCATAAAATTAAGGTACTAACCTTTTTAATATAGTTGAAACTGTATCTATTGTTTGATTTTTTGATTGCAAGAAACAGTTTACTATATCAATTTGTGTTAATATTAAGTCCCAAATATTCAGCACGATAAACATTTTAAAGTTAAAAAAACAGATAAGGTATTTAGCACCTTTGTATCTATACTCAGAAATACATTATTTAACATACATTTTAAAATTTCATAAATTTGTAGTACCTATATGTTGATTTAATGCAGAAGCAGCATGTTTTTTTTTATGGCCAATGAGTATCTGAATGAGATTTAAATGTGATTTTTATCGTGTTAGTTAATTTTTCCCAACTCGAAACAAAACTAGAAAAAAATGAATTCATTGTGAAATTTATTTCTGTTGCGTGAACTTTAATTCTATTTAAACTATCCACAGCACAAGGAATAAATATAACTAGTTAATTATTTTCTACTTTATTTTAATTTGATCAAGAGTCATTTGACCTAATAAAATGTGTATTGGATCTTCAAATAAGCAATGACAATATTAATTTAGTAAAGGACACATTTTATGTAAACAGTTATGTACTAAAAACAGAAATTATTAAATTATTAAAAAGTAATTATTGAAAAATAGATTAAATGGTTATAATAACTTTGTTTTGGAAGTGAAATTATGTGTTTTAATTTTTTCTAAATACTAAAACCATTTGTTTCCATTCCTGAAACTAATTGTACTAGAAAAATAACGTTTTCGAATCTAAGCTCATTAAAAACAAAGATACGATGTACAATAACATGATATGCATTGACATACAAAACGTTTAAATGGCCTCTTAACAATGTTTATAGCATAAGAATTAGTATACAATATCAATGTAAATGAAGTGAGTGAGTAATTTAAAACTGTAACCACTAAAGAAAGGAGAATAGAATTATGAATTATGTTTTGTTAAATTTTTATAACTAAAATATAATAGATATAACTATAAAAACAATTGACTCTTGAGTTACTAATGCCCCCCCCCTAAAGTATGTCCTTGTACTAATTCGAAATTGGCCCATTCCACCACAAGTCTGCGCACGCATATGTTTTTTAGTATGATTCAAAAACACTAAATTAACAAACTAAGATACTTAATATTATTCACTTATATACAAAGCTTTGAAAAATCAGAACATATTAATCAAAGTTCTCATACAAAACATTTACGTTAGAAAAATAAATATACCAACCAGTTATAATAAATAATATTCCGATCCTGTCTGATCTAAAATAAAATACCATAACCTTATTTTAGATAAAAAATTCACCTACAATACCCATCTAAAAAATAAATATAAAGTTCTGAATATCTTTCTCCATTTACCAAGGCGTCTCTAGGGATCTAAAATGGAAATTTTATATAAACTAATAATTTACAAGTCCCTTCTTTAACCATTATGGATATATGGCATCTAATTATGAGGAATGTCAAAACCCTCATAAATATCATAAAAATGCAATCCTTCCAATCCATCTATCTTCGTCTACTTTTATCTGCACCCGGGTACATTACAAGCAATGATCTTCACAAAGTCTAAACCTTGAATCAAATCTAAAAATATATTACAGCAGATTTTATAGTAAACTTCAATCACACATTAATTCACCTGTCACTAAACTATTAGTGAACACGCTCTTCGATAATCCACAACATGATTCAAAAGAAAATGGTGTAAGAACTTTCTGTTTTAATATCTCGCAATAATTAACAAACGCCCTGGGTGTCACCGCTGAGTAATTTCCCAATTCTTATTACTTGCCACGTATTATATATAAATAGCTTATTGTACTTACATTTTTTATAGATTGTAGATATTCTCTAAAACAATAAAAAAAAAATCTTTTCGCAATTTAAATTATAAATTATAATTTTACTTACATTGCGTGACATAATTACATTGTATACGACATATGTACTACATCGCATTGTATAATTCGGTTTTGCGGTTTAATGGACTCGTTATAAAGATGAAATTACAACAATTTATCCCTGCAGAGTTAATAAGATTTTTTACATAATTAACCGTATTATTACAATTAGGACCAAATTGGAAATTTTTTGGTTTACAAAATTAATTGTTTAAACAGCTTAAAGATAAAAGGTTTTCTAATATTAATGAGTGTATCAATTTTATTACTTTATTCGAACAAGAGTATATCCTGCAGAAATGTTATTTTATAAGAAATATATTTCACGTGCCATGAAGATGGTGAGTTTTTAAAAGATTATTCCATCTGAAATTCCTTACTTTTATTTTATTTATTGTATATTGAAATATATATAATCAGCAAATAAGCCCAACATATTTCAAACGGGCCATCAAGATTTGAATCGTAAAGCTTAAAAGATTATTGAGTTGTAATCAATATCATAAATTATCGAAGAGATTAATATGCATTTATCTACTATCCGAGGAAATTGGACGATGATTTAAGGGCCCACCACTAATTGATCGTTTTATAAATGCAGAATGGGCAGCATATGCTGAAATTCATTTTTGTATCTAAAATTTCATTCATTATTTCAGCTACCAACTACGCATAAGAAGTGAATATATATAAAATGTATAATTGCAAAAGTTAACTATACGTACATGTAATATGGTTGTACAGCGTTTATGTTTATCGCGGATTGTAGGTCAATAATATAATTTTTAAATTTTTTAAAGAAATAAATTAGTATATTTTGATCGTTTTTTTACAAACTATAATACATTCTAGTATACATTGCTACATGCGGTGTCTTGAGGTTTAGAAATTATATTCATCATTATTATTTAGTCGATGATGACTCTCGTTCATTAGAAATCGATTTAATGGAATCAATAAATAATTTAATGTATACAGCTAAGTTCAATAATTTATTATAAATTATTTCTATTTTAATTCATTATACTCGTATACTATAGGATCTGATCTAATTATAAATAAAAGCATTCTGTACTTCTACGACACTTTATACAAACTTGAATTGGGATTAAACAACACTTCCCCTTTGGGAGGGTTAATAGAAAGTTTTTTATTTAATTTGTAACTCCATATATTTGTGTATAATATATGTTATTATATTTAATTATTATCGCAGATTACTGCAAGGCAGAGATGATTTTGAATAGCTGATAAAGAAACAGTAGGTACATGTGAAGAGTGTGAAACTAATAAAACGTTTAAATTAATAATTTATTACAAAATTCTTTCTTTTATATGTGTAAGGTTTAATTTAGATGTACCTAAGTCAGTCCGCAGGCTTCAGTCTATGAAATATTACTGTAGGACAAAACCTACAATCTAAGCTAAGCCTTTACCTACCGTAATTTACGCAATGACGGAGTAAACTGCAAATTTTTATATAATACAACGATTTCGTATTAAAATTAGAATATATTATATAAGTACAAAATGTAAATACCGTAAATTTATTATTAAAATTAAATTGATTAGTAAAATATATGTATATATATCATCTACAAATAAGTAGAAATATTTCAGTCGTTCGTTAAGTATAGGTATTCTCAATAAATAAAATATAAGTGTCGGCGATGTTCAGTCATCTCGTCAACAAGCATATAATGAAAGCGAATAGGTTTTAGCGTATATCATTGTTCCGTTGACGTGCGCTAAATTTGAATTCTCGTTGCAATTGGACCACCTACACCAACAAAAAAATTAACAATATAAATTCACATCTATCATAACTTACAATAAGAGAGCGAATATTATTTTCATAAGAGTTAATCGCGTTAAATGTTGAAATTGTAGACGCAAATATACTTACACGTTTCCTTCCGTGTCAAAAATCGATATTCTGTCCACCAGTACGTTGATATTATTCATACCATATTTTTCGTTTTCCGTTTGATAAGCTAAAGATTGGAAGCTCAACTCGACGTTCAAATTTCTGGGCACAGACTTATCGTACTTAGCAACCGATAGTCCTTCAGCCAGAATTCCACCAGAAATATAATCGGAATGCCTGAAAGTTAAACACATAATGCGAACTTAGTGTAATAGGTAATAATATGTGAATGCGTGCGTAGAGAACAATGGGTGTTGTCATTATGTTCTCTAGCAAATATCGTCGTGAGAAATTATCCAAAATACAATAGTGCGATATCATATCATACTGACTTTGTTCGGAGTTTAAAGTTCGCCGAGGTATTGTTGCCGTCTTCTAACGATATTTGCAAGTAGCCTCGAAGTTTTGATGTTTTCGGAGAGAGTAAAACAGACGCTTTCATCTGCCGTCCTTCAATTAAATACGAAATAATTAACTTATAACGCCGTACCGTTCGTATTAACGAGAACAACAGCACTTACCACAAAATGGACTTGAATCTCTAGTTGTCAAGTACAACGGGCCGCGGAGTTTCGATTGCGATGCCGCAAACCCCATTGTTACGCAATTGGAATCTATTTACGAAAAGCAATAATTAAAATGTATGTTTCGAACTGGTACCGACGTTTCTGACATGGGTAATGTCCGTGTATATATGGATATATTTTTTCGCGGCAGCTTTCATTTATTAATATGGTATTCATAATTATTAATGATCAAATTAAAATATATTATGTATTATCTTTATTTGTATTCATAACTACGTATAACACAATATTTCCTACGGGACGCAATAAATAAATTAAAATAACGTAAAATATTAACGTTTTAATATTCAAGTTTATTGTTAAGCTTTTATTTTCCCTCCGGGTACTAAATATTAAAAAAAAAATATATATTTGAGACCCATGTATTAATTGAAACCCTCATCATATTATATAGAATGCTATTATTTTTACATGTTGAATAAAACTATTACAATAAGTTTTAAAATAGGAGAGAAAAGGTAATCTCGTTGGAATTTAACTTGTGTTCGTCTGATAACGGGAATGAATTATTCTCCACTCGGACTTCAAGATTCTACAGCTGTGTTTGGATTATACGAGTATAATGTATACCAAATTAGTATTCATCGCGGAATCATTCGCTTCTATTTATTTGTTTAATCAATTTCAAGTCCCGTTTACGATAAACATTAAACGTTGTATACGGGAAAAATACATCGATATATTCCAGGGCTTAAAACCGGTAATTGGTTTGTAACGAAAACTGGTAAAAAACCGTGAATTTGAGAACCGAAAACCGATAACCGCTTTTAATTTTGGAACGCTGAAAGCGATTATTGGTTGTCGGTAATCAAAGGTAAATAACTAAATATTAACATCAAAGCGATCATAGGCGTAAACTCGGGGGGTCAGGGGGGGTAATTGTCCCCCTAGAATGAATTAGGAGGGGCATTGTCCCCTCTGATATTTAACATACTTTGTTTTAAAATAAGTACAAAATAGCTGGTTATAGCTATTAATATAACATTTTTTTTTTTAAAACTTCATTTTCGCTTATCTAACATAATGTTAGAAAATGAATAATTTTATATAATAATATGTAGGTAGTTAAGCGGCGTTTAGCCTCGGACACATTTTTCGTTAGATATGTAATTATATTTTTTCCTCCTTAATAAATTTCCAAGTTACGCTTATGAAAGTGATTACCTCGTATTTTCAATCCCGGTTTTATAACCAAAACCTATTCCCGACCAAAATAATTAACGGTTTTTCGCGGTATTAATGCTTGAATTATGTCATGATTATAATATACTATTATAGTTGAATTTAATTTTCCATCTATTTTTAAATATTTTTTATAATTAATTAACCCCAAATTGCCCCAACTAATGGCCGTTGAGTATTGCTTATCTGTTGTAAATATCATATATACATATAAGTAAAACTATACATTATAAATACCGTCATAAACGTCGTCGTGGTGCGCTGATTCTTATTACGAAATAGTTGGTGGAATAGAGTAACATAATAATAGAGTCCATATAGTATTTATGATATTTTAATATTGTCGTTTTAATATCTGCTCATCCATTTTAAGGGGTACTGTATTATATACAATATAACCAAAAAGTTCTGTGGCAATGTATCAATTTGTAAATAAGTCCGTCTAATCTTTTTTTTTTTTTTGTTATTATCATAATAGCCTTGTTGTAATGTTTATATAATAAAAGCAAATTAAAAAAAAAAAAAAAAAAATGTATCAATCTTAAAGTCATTTTAGAAAATAATTATATATAATTTCGGTTTTTTACCGTTATAAATAATAATAAAATTATAACTATACAATTTTTTTATGCAATTTAGTTATTTGATTATCATTATCTTGATCATAATATGTTTTAAACTTTAAAGCAGTTTAAAAAAATAAATATTGAAATTGAGTGAAATCCACCAAATTAAAGTATATTAAGTTTTTGATTTTGTAATAATAAAAGTTATATTATCAACTAACAAATCGTCTAAATAAATGGTTTTAAAAATATGATTAAAAAATTGAAAAATATGATTTTTAAAAACCAGTTTTAATCGGTAACTGATTCCCAATAAACCTTATCATCGGATTTTGAATGATTAACGGTTATTATAGTTTTTGAAATATCCTTAAAGAACTGGTTATCATAATATCAAAATTAAATGATAACGGGTTATCGTTTTTAAAAAATTTTCGGCTTCTATCGGACTTTATTAGGAACAGTTTTAAGCCCTGATATATTAATACGTACATATGCTTCAATGTGTGTAAAACGCCACAACAACACACTTGATTACAACAACACATATGCTTGTCGATCAGATCAGCAATATATAGTTATATACTATGCATTGTTATTGATATTTGTTAGTTTCGTCAAAGAGGAGGGGGTTGTTTAGAAATATTAATCTGCGTACCGCATACCAACAAAAGAAGTGTCAATGAACGTGATGGGTTGATATGTTACCTGTGCAGTTCATGGGGAAGCATTCGCCCCTCTGGAACGCGGACCATCCTGCGGGGCACGGGAACGAGGTAAACTGGCACGCGTCGGGGTCGGACACAGCTTTGAGATTTTCGAGGAAAAACTGCAACGCCCGGAGATGATTGCACACCACACTCGAGTTAGTCGTACCCTCTACGCACATGAAAACAAATAAACGTTCAATTACTGTATACATATTACATGTAAGGGTGTGCGGTAACGCCACCATAGTGACGTGTTCTTGGGGCGAGGTTTCAGCGGCTACGAAGTGTACGCCGTAAATCGCCTGACCGATTGGTAGACCTGAAAATCGCTAAGGTACGGTCGCACGTAAATGGTCTAAGCGTCGCGCGTACATCCACGATTACAATAGCGTTGAGAACGTATGGCGAACTGCGTCTGCGCCAGCGATGTAAAGTTTTACGCTTAACGTGATTATTCAGATTTTATTCAACCTTATTAGTAAGTAAGCGATAAGTAATTGGGTAGGAATTTTTCGTAATATGCTTGGAACGTTAGAGGCAGTTCTAAAACAACTTCGTTGCACATGATTAACACTACATGTTAACCGATTACGACTTACCGAAGCGGCTGACGATCACCGATCCTCGGATTTGCTCGCAGCCGGGCTGGTCCAGTCCACCATTAGGGAAGTAGTCGACGTCACCGATCGGGTTGAACAGCCCGAACCCCTCGGACCATATCCTGGCGCCGTCTGTGTGCACTACGTCCACGAATGCTGCATCATCCTTACCGAGTGATGAGAGCGAAGCTGTCAACATTTGCCTGAACAATGGGGACGCCGGATCCAAACCTGGATGAGACACTTGTGTTGAACACCAGGAATTCACGGACGTTGAACCGAGTGAGTTCGGTTCATATGTTCTCACCTGTTATCCTGCCGATCGAGACGTTTTCAATTGCTTTCAACGCCTTGCCCGCGAAACCGGCAACATGTGCGCCCAGACTGAACCCAATCAGGTGAATGTGCTGTGGGTCGCTGCTCAACGCCACCATGTCCGCAATCAATATCGCCAACTGTCGGCCGATCAGTTGTGTGTTGGCCGCCGCTAGTGCGTACGCAGGGCCAGCGGCTCCTTTTTCCCAGTCCACGAATACCACGTTAACGTCTGCCTATAAAACGGGGCACGATAAGTCGCATGGAAATCCTCGGAATTTTCACGTACGATTAATCCGCCCTCGCACGTTCGTCAAGCATAATATATGGGTTAGGTTAGATAAGCCTAGAGTATACTGTATAGAATGTGAAGCTGTATCTTTACGTTTATTATCCCTCTAAGGTCAATATTACTACCGAATTTTAAAATATTTTTTGGAATTTTATGCCATAAGAATTACATTTTCTTAACTTAACATCGAAGTGAAAACCGTTTGATTTTTGTATAATGATCATTATTCTAATAAAGAAATGCTAATCCGCGGAAGATCAGATCGTACAGACATTTATAAAAAAAGAGAAAATGTACTCTATGATTTTTAAATTATAAATACGAATGAGTATACGTAATACGGTGTACTACATGATAGTAGGAAAAAATTCATAATCGAACCCGTAATAACAGAATATTTACAACTTATGTACATGAAATTAACCTTAAAATTCGAAAATCTGCTGAGCAGGTATTTTATTTTACGGTTTTTATTTTTGGCAGCGTTTCGGGAAATTATTTTTCTGAGAAAAATGACTTCCTCGCAAAATGTTTTAATTATAAAAAGTAGCTATTTGAAGATGTAATTTGTAGTAATACGGACGAAACAATTACTTTAAAAGAAAACACATAAATCATTATAGAACCAATAAATTATTCTTAGCTTAACATTTTAAACGCAACGGCGGTAATATCTTACAAACGACCAATGACAAAGCGAGGGGAAGGTATCTGTTATTCTTTACTCCGTGAATAGCTTTTCACAATATACATATATTGTACTGTTTGTACACGCACAAATTGAACATTAATTTATATCAGAATGCATATATGCAAATATTGAAACGGAAATTACCGCCTTACCAGGTCCAAAAGCGCGTTGCCCAAGAGTCTGGCCACCTTATCACGCCCACTGCCTTTGAACCCGTGGATTATGATCTTAGTTGGTAGTTCCGGTCGCAAGTTGGAATTCTTCAACGATACGTGTTGGTCGCCGTACGTGATATATGTTAAATCGCTTCGGTTGTGTCGGGTCATCACCAAGAATTTTGTGTCGACCGCGTCCGGCGATTGAGGTGACTTCATAAGTGGCGAATAGCTCGTACGAGGTATAGGAAAACATCCAACCATATCTTATAATAATAATAGGCGAGAAAACAGAAAGAGACAAAAGTGTAAATCTTATGTATAATATATGGACACGTGTATTAGTAAACATGGATGACTTTCGCGGTATAAATATATACTAACTATATGCATGACGCGTCTACTGCAGTCGTTTGCACGAAATGAATACTAATTTCTGAACAATAGTTAAAATATATATACATATATATTGGAATAAGCACACGAGCTAACGAATTACTACAGCATTCTCGTCAGATGTAAACGAGACATCTCCAAAGTACACACGCATCTTAAGTACGTACCGGCGCGTAGGTCGCAAGTTTCTCTGCGACCACAATGTTATATGTGAATAAATATTAAGTTTTTAAATGTTCTTGTTTCAGTAAAAAAAAAAAAAAAAATGAATAGCTAAAATTATACAAAATGATCATCGGCTCTAGTGTTATGATGTCGGACGTAAGTTAGTACCTATTATATATTGCTTTTTTGTTAGAATCTAAGTTATTGTAACATCGATAAACACTAAATTGACGCGTACAAAAAACATTAAATAATGTTATTATATAAGTATATACGGTTAGACTATTGGTGGAGGGTATTTTAATTATCCCTCCAAAGTTCCACATTCTTACCGTAGCAAATTTGTTTTGACGTTCGTGACTTTTGTCTCTCTTGTCTTCTAGACAGATGATCCCGGACCAACTGCATCGCGCGCTTACCCAATATGTTCGACGGCCAAAATTCATAATTAGAAACTATACATTATAAACATAGTGTACATTGGTACATTAGTAAAGAAACGATGTTGTTCGGTGGTAAAGGAAAAAACAAAAAAAAAACTTTAGCAACAAATCGACGCGCGACAATATTACGATGATTATTATGTTATGATTATACCTTCGGACGCTGCTTCTATTAGACCAACATGATCTAAAACCAAATATGCCGCAATGGATAAGGTGAAAAGAGTCCTGCCGACATTTTCCACGTACATTTTACGCGGTTTATGGGATATTCGTGGATCTATGTGTTTTACGATTCGGAGATCTCACATGACTGTTTAAAAAATCAACGCTGATAAAACTATAACGTTAAGAGTATACTGTATAGGTACTATGTATTACATAACGTTGCCGCACAGTGTCAAGTGTGTTAACCATTTCATATTATTGTTCCTTGTTATTATATATTATTATATTTTTTTTTCACTTTCACTCTGCAATCGAAGGCAAACTCTACTACAACTATACATCGAAGAGATATACATACATTCGATGTGTACCTCCTAATAAACCTATATAGCCGTACAGAATTTACATGTTGACATGTTATGTACCTCTACACACATACACAAACACACACACACACACACACCCGCACGCGCGCACGCGCACACTCGTGCGTCTACGCACGCGCTCACATTATATTTGCATGCATGTACAAAAATGACGCTAAAAATTTATTTTTATTTTCCGAACAGATTATTTAATGCTAAGAAAAAAATAGATATTCGTACTAACAATAGACCATAAAAAAAAATATTATTTCGATATACTTATTATAGTGTGCTTATATATATTCAAAGCGTAAATCGCGTTTAGACATACCAAAACACAGCGGCAATTTTGTGTTCACGAATCAAGATATAAGAATTTGTTGGTTCAAAACGTTTAGAATGTTTATAAATAATAATTATTGAATTACTGTTATATTTGTCCGGTTAAACAAGAACTAATCATGCCCAATATTAATTCGTACTAACACCGAACCGGAATCACTATTTTTGGACGTTGCACAAAAATGTTCAAACAATTAAAATAACTGCAACACGATTTAAGACTACACCGACACGCGACTTTATATATGAATGATGAAATAATTATAGTGTTATTCGTTTAGTAGTTTTAAAAGCGACTATCGTTAAAAAAAAAATTGAAATGCAATCGATTCATACGGGCAAGACTATACGGATGTGGAGGTATCTCCAGGGTCTTCCCCTGGCAATAACGACCTCTTGGAGTATAATCTCAAGTAGGTATTGTATTATTATGTCCTTTATGGATATAGTACACTGCGTGCGTCTTACGTATGAGAAAATCATATAAAAACATGGACTTACCATCACCTTAATGTCCTTAATGTAGGTATATATTATTTCCGCACGTACATTGGCGTATATACATAAACATAGAGGTTATTAGTATAGTAGATTGTAGTAAATACTTTGTAGACATTGACATAATTACTTCTTCCCAATACTAATATATTTTATTCTTATGCTATACTTATACACATATAATATAATCTTCATAAAAATAAAAATATATAACATTGAAAAAGTTAACTATACGTATATGTAATATGGTTGTACAGCGTTTATGTTTACCGCGGATTGTAGGCCAATACTATAATTTTTAATTTTGTAAAGAAATAAATTAGTATATTTTGATCGTTTTTTACAAATTATAATACATTCTAGTATACATTGCCACATGCGGTGTCTTGAGGTTTAGAAATTATATTCATCATTATTATTTAGTCGATGATGACTCTCGTTCATTAGAAATCGATTTAATGGAATCAATAAATAATTTAATGTATACAGCTAAGTCCAATAATTTATTATAAATTATTTCTATTTTAATTCATTATACTCGTATACTATAGGATCTGATCTAATTATAAATAAAAGCATTCTGTACTTCCATGACACTTTATACAAACTTGAATTGGGATCAAACAACACTTCCCCTTTGGGAGGGTTAACACAGTTATGCCCAACATTTTTCCTTTGGCGGGCCATTTTGGTAAACAATTATCTTCAAGGGGGCCACAAAGTAAAAGAGTACAAAAATAATCTTATATATTGAACTTGTTTTCTTATCTTTTATTGTCTATTGAAAATATTATGAATTGAGGTATACATAATTGTATTTTTTGGAATAATTATTTAAACGAATTCATAAATTTAAATAAAAATAATATATGATAATAAATAATTTAAAAATTGTTTAATGCATTTTTAAATTTTTTTTTTTATATTAGAAAATTCGTAATGTGCCACATAGAATACCTTCGCGGGCTACATGTGGCCGCGGGCCGCGGGTTGGGCATCACCGGGTTAACAGAAAGTTTTTATTTAATTTGTAACTCTCATATATTTGTGTATAATTTATATAAAAGGCAGTGATTCAAATGATAACTCAGTACATGGTTAAAATATATTCATTGGATTACATAATATACGAGTGTTGCTAAATAAATGTTATAGGTAATACATGTACTTTGAATGATTATTGGATATCAATAAATTATTATTGTCTTTTTATGCGTCTCGAAATCACTAATAATGTGTTATTGTTTTTCATACTAAGTGTCCAAATCTATTCTATATTATATGCTTATTTTTTGTAAATAGTTAACGTTTTTATTTTCAAATGTATTAATGACATTGATTGGTTGCAATTGATATTTAAAAATCGAACAACTTACGCAGAGTACGTGTATTCATAATAATATTTTTATAAGTCAAAGACATTAGGCAGCAGCCTTGAGTTTATTGTTTGCTGAATTAGGCATTGCTGACCATATATTTGTATTGTAATGAATATTATCCGTCTTGTCAAAATAGTTATTTATTGTTATGTGTCAATTAATAATCTTTCCGAATGAATTATATATGTAATTATATGTTTATTTTAAAAATTTTGTTGCTGTAGAATAATACTCATAATTAAATATTTAAATGTTAATAACGCTCCATAATACTGTTTAAACAGAGGGTAATTTATTATTTTTGTTAAAACTAGTCAATTTTTAATTAGCAAGAGATTTTTAAAATTTTTAACTCACAAATTTTGGAATTAGAAAATATAATAATCTTAAAAGAATTTTTTTTTCAAAATATTTCATATGTACTAAATATAATGTGAAAAACTTTATTAATAAACGTTGACTTCTGTTGTGCTTTTATAAAAAATCTTTTGATTTGATTACTCGATTCATTAATACAGTGAAAACAGATACATAGAAAAAGTATATTTTATAGAATCCACGTAGTACATAGTTTTCCATAGGGGGGGTTATTTATTATTATTCTATTTCTAATGTTAATAGAATATTTCGCAAAATGGCAGACGAAACGTATGCAAAAGGTTATACTTAAAAATTAAGTATTCTTTATTAACGTAGCTAAATGTATAAAAAAAAAACACTTGAAAAAAAATATAATTACAATAACAGACACACTTCATACTTGGCACCCTTAAATGCTCCTTTTAGATGCCGCACATACATGCTACATGTTCCTATTTGAATAGTGTCCTTAACATTGTAAATATTCGCTATTCTTGAAAACGAACACGGGTATTGTCTTAAGTGTATGATGTTTAACGGAACTAAAAGCTTTTGGCGGCAAAAGCTCTTACACGAGTCATTCTTGATATTTCGTACGACCATGACTCCAGGCGTGTCCAGCTTTGGTACGTAGAGTTTTAATCGAGAAAAGTCGCACACGTTTTCCGGTCATATCCGCGGCGATTGTAGGGGACTGCTGCAACTGTGTAGGATTTTGACGAAGACTCACCGTGTAGGAAGTATATTACACTCCAATTGCAAATTAGATTGTTGAGAAACTATATGTCAAGGATATTTTATTGAGCACGAAGGACGTGTATTAGCCCGATATTGCGCTCGTCAAAATTATACGGTCTATTTTATACTATATGTAGCACGCTTGTCATTAAATCGAGAACGACATTCAATTATATCATTGGTTTTCGAAAAACATGAATATAGGTATCATAGTTTTGTAGATATATTTACTAAGCGCACAACTACCCGCCTTCACAGTCAACGATTCGTTCTTATAAATTTACGTTTACCGTAAAAAAGGAAATTGACTCACGGCATCAGTCAAGGGCCGCGAGTATTCCAAAGATATAAATAGTAGATGCAGGACTAGTATATATTGACACTGTTTTTTACGGATATAGAGCGGCCAAATTGCATGCTTCATCCCGTTGAATTAATCACAGTCGTGATATGTACTCTAAAAACAAAATTCTCCAATTTTGAATCATTTTGGTCATACTTTTATAGATTTCATAATAAAACTATAAATGTTTGTATACATGTTGTTTAAATTCTCTGATACTATTCTAGTGGTGTAAGCGTTATTATTTTAGAAAGAAGAAAGTGTGCCAAGTATGGGACATTGTGATTCAGCATTGAATTAAAAAAGTATTATATTATATTTTTAAAAAAATCTTCTTGTTCTTTTAATACATAACATAGATAAATAAATAACATTTCCCATACTTTTTATTGTAACAAAATAAAAAAATGGTTTAATTATAATATTATAAATGATAAAAACCATATAAAATAATTATTATCCTTTTGGATGAAAGTTTAAAATTATTGTGATTACGATAGAATAATATTAGTCTTACTGATTTATCATAAGGAAGAACATTTAAAATGCATGCGAATAGCATCCTATTCACCTCATCATATAGTTAACGAATGAATAAAAACAATTCTCAATTAAGATTTTTGAGGAACACGGAGAAGGGATTCGGTGCAACACCGATTAAATGTTAAGTATATACAATGTCACATATTATATTGTTTTCAGGTAAGTACATACCTGTATATATACAGAGTGTTTCAGTAACATTTAATAAACGTATTAAATTTTGAGCAGTTCATCAATTAAACTTTTTTATTATAATAATATTTAATAAAAATGTTTTACAACAAAAATATATTTTTTTTTTTTATCTTGAAATTCAAATCTATTATTTTATGCACAAAAAATAAAATAGCAATATTGTAAACCTTATTTTTAGAATAATGTCTTGAACTATCAAGCAATTTGTTTGTTATGATTTTTCAAACTTTTTGACAACGTTCGTTTGATTGTCTTAATTAAGTCTAGATTTAAACACGGTTTTCAATTTTTAATCGGTCGTTTTACTGCAATCAATGAACACATGGAAAATTATCGAATTTTCACAAACTTTAAAAAAAATTGCAGAAAATTACCGTATTGTCCTTTGTTAAGACTATAGGTGTCAAACATTTATCAAAAGTCGAATTTATAAAATAACTATTTTTTTAATTTTTTTTAATGGTAGAATAAAATGTTATTTTTTAATTTCAAGCTGAAATAGTTTTATTTTATTATAAAAACATAGCTTTGTGTTTCAATATTAAATTTAAAAAAAGTAAAAGAGAGAAATGGAAGAAAAATTATTGCATTTATCAATTCATATTGAAACACCCGGTAGAGATGCAATGTATATACTCATATTTACCTAAACAAAATGCGTATAACTATACGATTGATTGCTATATGATTGCGTCATTCGTTCAGCACATGGATAGTATTCTATTTTCGATTTATAACATATGTAACCAAATTACGCGTGCTTATACTGTTGGAAATAAAAACACTTCTGCAGTATGCATAGATATTTACAGTTCTTGTTCGGTTACCGCGTCAATATAAAACACATCAATACATGGATTAGTCGATGTATAAGTTAGTAAGGTAATATAGGATGCATTTGCGTTACTATTAAGTTCTATACGGGGGGTTAGCGATTATCTTAATGAGGTGTGCCTGAAGTTATTTATTATATTTGCGGGAACATTTTTTTATTATAAGTCCTTGGGCTCGAAAATAAAAGGAAACGAGGATGGATAAATTTTTTCTAAAACTATTTTTAACGATGTATCGTGGTCTAAAATATCCGTACACATAACACATTTATATACATAGAAATATTAATTTTGCTAACCTTTTTTACCCTTTTACTTATATTTTTTACGGCTTATTTTTATTTTTATTTTTGGCATTCAGATGTACTCGAACACTGTTCCGCTTGCACCATTATCTACTTGTGAATTTTTCAATCGTATACCACGGTTAGAACCAAGAATATACCTCTTCATTTG